CTCGGCCTGGAGGGATAGAGATGTGGCACGGGGGCGAGAGCCCGTGAATTAATCTTGCGTGAAGAAAGAAATGAGAAGATCTGGGGAGGGCAGCTAGCAAATAAACCACCCAGAACCCTCCCCAGGCTTTGGTATATTGGTTTTTCTTTTGGGGTCTTAGCGAGACCCATGGCTAGACGGATTTGATCTAGGGCAGATCCCAGACTGCCTATGCTTAGAGGGAGAAGCTGTGTAATAGTTTATTTAAAAGTTTCGCAGTGGGTGAGGGGTTGCCAGAGAAGTTGTGTCTTCGCAGGTCGCAGAGAGAGATAACCTCTCTGCCTGCGTTCATCAGGTGCGCCGTGCTGCAGCCGTAATGCATGGCTTTGAAATGGTTGTCATGTTTTTGTTATTTAATTATTCAAATGAAATGTCTTGCTGGGAGGGAGCACAACCCACAGAATGACCTCTTGAGTGCTATTTTGTTGTTCAGTTTTTGCCCTGACGTGTCTGTGTGTGGTGTTTTGGACAAGGGATGGTTGCAGAACTCCAGGTGACCGAATGCCTGCGACACTGGGCAGAGGCTTTTTGCATATCGTGGTGATAACCAGCACTCAGCATTTCCTCAGGCCACCAGGCAGTTCACGAGGGCTTAAGGGACAAATAACTGCTCTTTAATTCTGTGATTCCTTCTTTAATTAAACTTTCTGGCTCAGCTACTGGTAGCGCTTTTGGCTGCCTCTCCCATTTTAAGCTGTGCAGTAGTGGGGGGTACTGGTGATCCCGAGGGGTCTGGCCGGGGATCTCCTGGGACACCGGTGAGTCTCCTTCTTTCTCCTATTTATAGCACGAGGGGTTGGAGAGTTAAGATCATCAGGACAACTGCAAAGGCTAGCGATATGCATGGTGTGTGTGTGTGGAGGTGATGGAGACAGGAATAACCCAGCTGAAATCTGACCACATTTACCTGTGCGAAATAGTATGTTTTTATATCATGAAAGTCAGAGAGATACTGCTTAGCAAAAGGACAATACACTATGGCTATTGAGCATAAATAAAATAAATACTGCTTTTTTTAAAGGCTGAGGTGTATCCAGTTTCTGTGCTTATCCAATACTCCAATTGGCTTCTCGCCTGTATGAAAGTCTAATAATGATATTTTAATAGGAAAAACTAAGAATCAAAACTTTCCTGAAACTAATAATATTTATGAAGACTTTGTAAGAAATAACAGTAATGCAGTTGGCAGTACAGACATGTAGCTATTGTTTGAAATTACAGTTGTCTGATTTTAATATTGCAGATCAGACAAGACAAAGGAACTCGGTGCTTTCAATAAAGCTGCACATAGCAGCCAGGCCTGGTCAAGGGTAACACCAGTGAAATTAGATAGGTATGAAAGCCATTTCATTTGATATATGTTTTTCTCCCGATTTTAATTTTATTACTTTCTCTCTAAATGTTTGCACTTGAGCAGACGTATTCTCCTGGAATCTTAGATACTTTGTTCATTGTTTTCCTGACTGGTTTAGCTTTGTGCCTTTCATATAATGCTTCATGAAATGTAAAGCTGTGCCTTTCATATAATGCTTCATGAAATGTAAAGCTAAAATGAAATTAAGTCGGTGTTTCAGTTCTGCATTCATATTGCAGCATGAATGCAAGGTGCAGGGAAACATCACAAGATTTTGCTAAGTCTTTATAAAACATTCGTAGAAAGATCGTTATAGGTCTCCTGATACTCCCTACCTAGTTGGTGAGGGAATACAGGTCAGAAATTTAGTGATAAAAACCCACTTTAAATTGCAATTTAAGCTGGCTTTTTATAGGCATGGATGTAGATGTTTGCAGGCGTCCCGTATATACATGTAGAGTATGAAAGAGGGTCTTGAAAGAGTACCTGAGATCTGGGGATTTTTTTTTTTTTTTAAACTCATTGTACACAATCAAAGGCAACTTTTGTCAGACATTGTCTCTGAAAGGGACCTTCCTGAGCTCTGTTTCAGCTCTTACTCCATCAGGTACGGTCAGAGTGCGGTGCTAGCCAGTATGACCCTGTTAGCATGGATGGTGTGCTCCCCTCTGCTAGTCTAGCTTGTCAGCAGTAGCTGTTCTGCTTAAGGTGGGTGATTGTGTATGATGTTAGCACAGAAGAACTACTTTAAAAAAAAGTATTTCTGCGTTCCTTTATCTTCTTGAACAGCAGCATGAAGCCATCCTGGAGGGCTGTAACTTGGCAGTTTTTGAGGAAGGCAGGTGTCGCTTGGGTCCCCAACCAAGAAGATTTGGGATTTGTCACTATTTCAGACAATGTGTTGTGTTCGTTTTGGGACATCCTAGATTGCCTGTTTAATGAGGAATGGACTTGAACTGTTTGGGATAGGATGTTTGTGCTGATTCCCCTTTGTTCTCGCGGACAATATTCTCGAGAACCAGAATGGTTTAATCTAGTCTTACTTGGGGCAAATCTTCCACGCAAGCAAGAGACGGAGTTGGATGTTTTCACAGTACATCAACGCTGAGCTCTGTGGGAGTTTCTCCTGATGTCCTGTGTATGTTGGATCCAAAATATTGATGGTGTCTGGACAATGAAGATAGCTTTCACAGAAGAGCCTCTGGTCTAACAGTAATTGTTTTTTTTTTTGGTATGCAGAAATTCATAAACTCTTCAGTTGAATTGTCTGAAAAAGCACTTTGTCTTTCCCATGCTGTAAGACTAAGTAAACAGATTAGGTGTATTTATTAGTTCAAACAGCTTGAGTGAAATTGGAAATGTAAGATAGCTAGAAACGAACATGGTGGGGGGTTTTAGCTGAAGCTTGACAAACAGCGATTTCTTTCTGGCTTTGTGTTCTCAGTTATTTCCAAATAAATCATGTTAAGAAGATTATTTTAAATCAATGTCTATATCAATAATTTATTTGGCATTATTGAAGTAGTGGCAGTAATGCTTGTATTTCAACTGAACAAACGGTTTCAGCATCACTGGGGAGTGTCTGCCCTCTTTAGGTGGTTTCCCTTAAAGACTCTGGGAAAAGGAAATGCTTGGCACCTGGGACGGCAGCTGATGCAAGTGAAGACTGGCTTTGAAAGGCTACTCTTGCTGTTTGTTGGAGAAAGAGAATGTGGTCGAGCACTGGAAGAGGCTTTGCTGCCTCCACAGCTATAGCTATGGGTTCAGCCGCGGCTGGATTTCACTTGACTGCCAGGGAGCCCAGGGGAAATGAGCAGTGGTGCCAGGAGCTGCCTGGCTGCGTGTGTCGTCTCGCTCTCTACACGTCTATGAAACTCAGTAAGAGTTTTGGTTCCGATTTGTCTTTCAGCTGCTTATCGCAAGATTTGGTAGCCCCTTTCCGGGTCATGGACATGCCATACGTGGTCTGTTTCTGGCTGACTTTCCCTATGCACCGACTTGGGGGGTGGTGAGAGGGACCTTTGGTCCAGCACAGCTGGCTGTTCTGCAGTCATGTCCTGGGAAGTTCCCTGGAGGCTTGAGCATCAGCACATCTGTGTGTAGCCATGCTCTGTGCTGGAAAACCTCCCAAAGTTAGGGGGAACAATGGTGAAATCTTAGAAGAAGGAAGCGATGCAGTCCGTGTGTTTCAGCTCTGGTCATCACATATGCTGGAATCTCCTTCCTTTAGTAACTGGAAGAGTCAAGTGAAACTATTGCTCTGAGCTGTTTTTACAGGACTTCTCTGTGCCGTGTGTCTCAAATTTTATAGTTATTTTTTTTAATATTAACACTTGTCTGGCCTATCCTAAGTTTATGTTAGGTGGTCCTAAGACAGGCAAGTGAGATGCAAAACGAACGGGAATGTTTAAATGTACTGAGATATACTAACACAAATGTGTAAAATACTGTTTGGAGTGTAGGACAAATAATTGTGCATGACATGAAGTCAATATTTGATTGTGTCTGAGAATTGATTTCTTTAGTAGTGCTCCCCGTGCCTTTGTAATCACTTCCATAACGATCTCGGTGATAAAGTTTTAGTGATGGGTCTATAGGGAAGGTCTCATGGACATGCGTCTATGGTTTTGGAATGTTTCTTACAACATGCACACTGGTGTGACAAATATTTGTATCTGTTCACTAGCTGAGGGAAAGGAACAAGCACATATTGCTTGTTTGATTGCTTGGGACTAAGCAGTACTGCTCAAGTTTTTAAAACACCTGCAAACTTCTGGGGGAGTTAAAGCAATGGAATTATTCGTTTACTCAAAAAGATTTCTAGATGTCCTTGAATATTCTTGGCCCAGGAAAGGGAGCTAAACTTGTAGGTGAGCTTTTGACAATTTTTTATTTGTTTGAGCACATTTGCGCAATGTAACATTTAACTCTGATTTGTTTCTCACTTGTTTGCTTTTTTGAAATTTACTAACTCAGATCTGAGTCATGGCGAAAAAGCAGCTTTTCCATATGCGAGGATATCATCAATTGATCCAATATTTTGCTTTTTTTTCCCCTCAACTAAAGCTAATTTTTGCCTTTCATTTTTTTCTTTCTTGAGCATCAGCACCCCAGTCTGATGAAGGCTCTGACATCGATTCTGAACCAGATTTACCTTTAAAAAGAAAGCAGCGTCGCAGCAGGACTACGTTCACGGCAGAGCAACTGGAAGAGCTGGAAAGAGCTTTTGAGAGGACACACTACCCTGATATTTATACCCGGGAAGAACTTGCGCAAAGAGCCAAACTCACGGAGGCTCGTGTCCAGGTATTTAAAAGCTGCCTAACAAAGGCATTTCCTTTTCTGTTAGCACGTTGGGTCCTTTTGTATTCTCACGTGATCCTGGGGTAGAAGGAAAATGTGAAGCTACATTGCTGAAAGCCTTAGGGGTTTTTGCATCTGTACATGGACGTTGGTGTTCCAACTGTTTAAGGCAACAACTGCTTTGAAAAAAGTTTTGTGTTTTCCCCAGTAATTGTTCCATACCTACCATGAATATAATACTGAGCCTTTGGAGAAGAAGGTCTGTTATCCCAGTTTGTTTATTTTATGCCTTTGACAGCACTCTGCATGTAATCAGGTCAGCTGTTGTGCCAGTTTATAGTCACTTAACTGATTTCATCTGTTGTTGTTTGGGTCTTTCAGGCATTAATAGAGGAGAGAAAAACATTTTAAAAAGGACAATGTGTCTATAGAGCCATACAAGTGAGCAGGGTTACTGGTGCAGTATCTACAGTTTACTTTTCGGTTAGCTTTTCAAGTTGACTTGATTTAAACCTTGTAATATCTCTTTTATTCCCACTGTCAGTTTAATTCAAAAGAAAATAAACCGTCAAATATCTGTTAGGTCTTCACAACTTCATGTAGATTTGGATTGTCTAAAACAAATTAACATGCTGGAGAAGTAAACCATGGAGTTGATTTAAATTAAAAAAAAAAAAAGAAGGCACAAACCTGGATTTTTCAGATGTCCAAAACTGGGCAAATAGCAGCCAAATAATACTGGAATAAACTGCACTCTGGAGTTCGGGTTCAGACTAGGACTTTGTTTCATGGCACAGAAACACATCCCGTGAACTGTTTAATACTGGCAGGCAGAATCCTCTGTTGCTCTTTCACTACTCGACATCTAAGAGTTATTTGGAAAAGCACTCCCAGTTTAAATCAGTCTGAGCTGCAAGTGGTCACAAACAAATGTGCGGTTTGGTGACAAGCAAAATGTTGTAGCTTGTGATCTAACCAAGGAAGAGAAAGGAGTAGTAACTTGTGGTCTGACCAAGGATACAGGTGAATTTGATTGCTTTGCTGAAACCGTGTTTTTGTTTTGACCTTTGCAGCTCCACCTGAGGCATTCAGACTCTCCAAACTGAAATAAGCAATACAAAATATCCCTCTGACTTTTTAAGACAACTGTGCCTATTGCAGCATGGCTGTATTGTTGAGTGTCTGTCTTGAAAGATCCGGACTTTTTCAGTTTTACCTGGTAAATGTTTTTGCAGAAGACTTCACACCACATTTCTTTTAAGTGTTTGTTATGACTGTGAAAGAAACTCAGATGTATGGCTGAATTTGCCTAGAAGGCAAACTCAGTGGTGCGTGACTCTTTTCTTAACATGTTTACCAAGAGAAATGCTTGCAAAACAGCTTCAAATATAGGCTTGGGCCAGGTAAGACCAAATCAAGCCCTGGGAGTCATCCACGCTCAAACATAATAAAGATAGCTTCCTACACAAGTTCTGTTAGCAAGACGAATGGGATCTAGGATATGATGTTTTGGGCTATGTTAGCTTCAGTGGAAAGAATACGATAAAATGAAAAAGACCTTGTTCATGTTTTTCTAAATCAATGACCCACAGCTAGAAGAAAAGCAGAACTCTCATTAACATAACAGCTGTCTTAATGTGGCTTTAACCCTGTGACTTTTTACATTCCTTATGGCTTCCTTGGTTCCCTTGAGACGCATCCTGTCTCACACCACTCCTATGATCTACAGCCTCACGAATTCCCCAGTACCTCTGACATATGGATATTTTACCTAACCCAGCATGGAAGAAAGTTCCCAGTCAATCAATGATTAAAATACCAGAACAAAACCTTTCTGGATTAAAGATGAGCTGGGGTTGAAGTAGCCAGCCTGTGGGCAGCTTCCTAGTGCACTCCATCTGTCTGGTACCCTGGAAGCCTGGCAGACTGATTTAGCAGTGGATTAAGGGATACAGGATTTGCCTTATCAGCATTCAGCACCTCTCTATAGCCCCTTAAAATAGCCACCTATGATGGGTGTGAAATAAAAGACGACCTGTGAAAAGAAAATAACCCTAAGAGACCTGAGGCTGAGAGGGCTGGATAGCCATACTGATGTAGCATTCAGGCTTTCTTAGTCACACTTTTTTTTGGTAACAGTATGACAGAGATCAGAGATACAAAATTTTCTATGGATATATACATAAAGATCTCTCTGACTGCTTCCTCATCAAGCATCATCTAAAAGACCCTAGCTCTTTTCATCCCGAGTCCAGCCGAGCCCAGAAATTAATTTTCTTCTCTGGAGCAGCAAGGACTAATTTTATGGAGTTGTTCTACATTGTCTAGGAAGTTATTTAATTGATTGCAACTGGACCAACCTTGCTATTCCCGCAGTCCCTCCATGTAGCGCTCGCATCTCATGTTTTGTTTTTTCTACCCTGCCACCCCCATGCTTCCCCTTTCCTTCTATTCCCCAAGGCGGTCTCTGAACACCCATGAAAGGAAGAGTCTTAAACCACTGAATCATCTATTTTCTCACTTTCCCACTGTTCAAGCGGAGCCAAATGCATGTTTCTAAGCTGGTTGGTTGGAAGGGGGGGGAGGGGAGAGAAGTTGCCTATAGAGTGGGACCAAACTCAGAAAATTTCAGCCCCTAAGGGGAATTTTGTGAAAGCTACAAGCAACTGAAAACAGACTTTACACTGTGAATGTTATTTGTGTACTTAGTCCTGGGGACAGGAAAGGCCTTTGGGGAAAAAAGTCTTGCAACAAACTCCATATTGCAAGAGTCACGAGATGTGACTGTATGTAATAAGGAGTTAAAATGCTCCCTGCAATTCCTCCTGCAGTGCCTTTCCACTCAAGGACCACTGAGTCTTTCTCCGCTGTGTCTGAGCCTAGATGTCATGCAGAACCAGGGCAAGCTCTTGCCCTGCCTCTTCCAAAGGCACCCGGCTCTTTTTCCACGTTAGCTGCAGCAGGAAGGGGAAAGTTCTTTGGGCTTATGCATTCATCACATACAGTTCAGAAACATAAGTAAAGTCCCAAAGGATGTCTCTTTATTAGAAAAAAAAAATAGTAGTAATACCCTGGGAACGTGCAGTTAGATTCGCATATTTGTGAGTGAAAATCACAACCATGCAGTGCTTTGCTGGTCCAGTTTAAAACCTCATTAGAACTATCATTAAGTTGCAGTGCAAGCCCTTAAGGTTTGTGGACTATTTTCACTGACTTAGTCTAAAGGCAAATTCTAAAAGTGAAATTTTCCCCATAGTAGATAAAGATCAGCGCCTCCTTCTGAGCTGCAGAGCAGTGCAGTTCTGGTTTCTGTAATAAACAGTGCATAAGGAATGAAGTGGGTAACATCATTTCTGGCCACTTTTTGATTCCCACATGAGGCTTATTTTAAGACCTGGATGAACTGGGTGAACTTTGGCAGCAGCTTGGAGCCTGTTTCACATTGATGGTGGGAAGTGTTTAATTCAATCTTTTGGTACAGGATTTTTAAGTAAGGTTCAGGTTTGTCCTGTGGCAGGCAGAGGAGCAGGAGCCTTCCTTAGCCGATAGGGACTGGCCAGTCAGACAAATCCTTTTGGGCTGTGTGCTGAAGGCAGGCCTCCCAGATTATCAGAAATGTGATGGGTGAGTCTTGCGTGTTGGGCCGTGTTGAGGATGTGCTCCCAGCTGTATGGCATCACACGGGGCAGGAGGTCCTGCCATGAGAAGCAGCTGGCATGCACCTTCCTGCTTAACCCCGAAAGGCAACGGGGGAGAACTAGTTTGGACTCTTAGTCCATGAATAATGGCAAAAAAGCAGGGGAAGTCAGGAAGAATTCTGAAACGTGAGTACATCCTGTTCTGAAAAGACTCTTCTCTGCCAAATCCCACGTTTAAATTGTTTGCTTGAAAACTTCCAAAAAGAAAGAATTTGTTTAAAAAAAGAGCATGTCTGAAAATTCAGTTGCATCTTTCCAGGCTGTGAGGATGGGGTTGAATGTTCCCGTGTCAAACTTGTGATCATCTTGTAAGCTTTTGTAAAAAGCTTATTACAGCCTCAGCAGATAGAATAAGTCCCAAGAGCTCAGAAATCTTGAGTAGCCGGAAGAAAAATGATTTTTTTTTTTTTTTTTTTAAAGAAGCCCTGGGGTTGCATATTTTTTAAATTGTTTGCTTGAAAACTTCCAAAAAGAAAAAATTTGTTTAACAAAAGAGCATGTCTGAAAATTCAGTTGCATCTTTCCAGGCTGTGAGGATGGGGTTGAATGTTCCCGTGTCAAACTTGTGATCATCTTGTAAGCTTTTGTAAAAAGCTTATTACAGCCTCAGCAGATAGAATAAGTCCCAAGAGCTCAAAAATTTTGAGTAGCCGGAAGAAAAATGATTTTTTTTTTTTTTTTTTAAAGAAGTCCTGTGGTTGCATATTGTTTTCTTTCTTGTGCTGTGGTACCAGGAGGGGAAGAGATGGTTTGGAGAAGAAGATAGTGTGTGTGGGGAAAGGTGTGAGAAGAAATGATGACTCTTAAGCTAGTAGTAAGGTTTGAAAGCTCTAAAGTCCAGTCTCTCAGCTTTAATAGTATTTTCTCAGTAGCAAACAGTGAAAAGCATTCACTGGGAAATCATGGGGGAGGGAGGAACTGTGCCAAAAAAAAGTCTTTATTTGCCCTCAGCTGCTCTGAAACGGTTTGAGCTTGTACACTGAACTGCACAGTCCTGCGGGGAGATGGGACAAAGGACTGCGGGATAGATTCAGCAACACTTAGGATGCTTCAGCAGATCTTTACAGTTATTCCTGATGTGGTTTATGGAAAATTTATAGTGCCTTTTTTTGATGGTGTCCCTTTTGCATTACATATAGGGTAAAGAAAGAAAATTGTGTGCACTCTTGCAGTAGATAACCCTGTAATTGCAGATTCCTCCCCCACCCTCGGGTAAAGGAGAAATTCTTATGGGTAAATTAGCCAACTACAAACATATGCAGGCCCAAGAAGACATTTTTAAATATAAAAGAAAAGAAGGGATGT